AGACACGTAGCCGCGGTGTGTAAAGGGAAGCAGAGGTGTCCCAAGTGTGGAGAGGAGCACATATATGAAGAATGCAAAGAAGCTCAAGAAAAGTGTTGTAACTGTAGAGGACAACACAGAGTTAATGATGAAAGATGTGAGGTGAGGAAGGGGGCCATATAAATCCAACACATCAAGATAACCAAAAACATAAGCTATGCTGAAGCAGTCAAGAGTGTGCAAGGACCAAAAACGAGTGAAAAGATCAAATAAAGAATCAAAGCCCACAATAAATTACTCAATCAGAAGAGACCATGTCAATGTCAACAGAAATTTTTTTTCTCATGGCATACGTTATCAACAGTACTGATCAAGCTACACACAAGACAGAGAAGGTCAAAATAATTGGGAGGAGAGCTGAAAAAGTTCTGGGATTTAAAGAGATGTCATGGGAAAATATAAACAAAAGATTGGAAACAGATGGGAGGTCAGGAAACCTCAATGATAAAAATATATGAGAATATTACAATGGAATGCAAGAAGTTTAATAGCAAATGGACAAGACTTTAAAGGATATATAGATGGATTTGATGAAAAAACAGAAATCATATGTATACAAGAAATGTGGTTAAAATCAAATTTGGAGTTTGTTATCAAAGGATATAATTGCATAAGAAGAGATAGACAGGAAGGAAATAGAGTAGGATGTGAGACATTCATTAAAGAAGGAATTCAATATCAGATATTAAAAAAGGAATAGAACTAGAATACATAATGGTGTAAATATGGGGAAATGAAGGAAAGTGTAAGATAATAAAGTTTTATAACCCATGCAAAGCACTGTCAAGGATTCAAGGATTTAAGGTTCGTTATTTGTCATACGCACCACATGTGGTACATGTGGTGGAACAAAATTGTGTACACAGGGTCCTGTTATATCCAACAAAAGTATAAAATGTAAAAGAAAACTAGTAATAAGATCTAAGATATGAACTAAGAAAAACGTTAACTAGAAATACACTAAGCACTAGAAGTATAAAAGCGATACGCAGAACAGCAGCACAAAGCATAAAAGCAGTATTAAAATATATGGATGGAAAGTGGTGTGGCTTGGGGACTTTAATACACATAGTACTTTTTGGGGAAAATGTAATGATAGAAATGGACAAGTAATGGAAAAAGTGATGGAAATAAAAACCTTGCATGTCTTAATAACGAGAGGGGAATAAAAGTAAATGTTAGGACAGGAGCAGAGTCAGCCATCGATCTTACATTTGTATCAAATTCATTAGCTGGGGTTTGTATGTGGGATACTGATAAAAGGACAGTAATGGGTAGTGATCATTACCCTATAAAATTTTCAATAGGCATAAAACCAGAGAATAACAAAGTAGAAGGAAATAGGAGGTTAACACTTAATAAAGCAGACTGGAACTAATTAAAATATATCACTGATTAAAAGTTGCAGAAAATTGATTTGTCAACAGATGTTAATAATATCAATTTTTGTATTTGCAAATGTGAGGATTTGTGTTTTTCTGGTGTGTCCCCCTCTCTTGGTCTGTCCCAGCTCCTACATTCCCAGCTGTTCTGATTGTCTCTGTCACAGGTGTTTGTCATGGTCTGTCGTTAACATCTCAATATACAGTACCTTGCAAAAGTATTTGGCCCCCTTGAACTTTTCAACCTTTTGCCACATGTCAGGCTTCAAACATAAATATATAAAATTTTAATTTTTTGTGAAGAATCAACAACAAGTGGGACACAATTGTGAAGTGGGATGAAATTTATTGGATGTGTCAAACTTTTTTAACAAATAAAAAACTGAAAAGTGGGGTGTACAATATTATTCAGCCCCTTTGCTTTCGGTGCAGCAAACTCACTCCAGAAGTTCAGTGAGGATCTATGAATGATCCAGTGTTGTCCCAAATGACTGATGATGATAAATAGAATCCACCAGTGTGTATTCAAGTCTCCGTATAAATGCACCTGCTCTGTGATAGTCTCAGGGTTCTGTTCAAAGCACTGAGTGCATCATGAAGACCAAGGAACACACCAGGCAGGTCCGAGATACTGTTGTGGAGAAGTTTAAAGCCGGATTTGGATATAAAAAGATTTCCCAAGCTTTAAACATCCCAAGGAGCATTGCACAAGCAATCATATTGAAATGGAAGGAGTATCAGACCACTGCAAATCTACCAAGACCCAGCCGTCCCTCTAAACTTTCATCTCGAACAAGGAGAAGACTGATCAGAGATGCAGCCAAGAGGCCCATGATCACGCTGGATGAACTGCAGAGATCTACAGCCGAGGTGGGAGAGTCTGTCCATAGGACAACAATCAGCCGTACACTGCACAAATCTGGCCTTTATGGAAGAGTGGCAAGAAGAAAGCCATTTTTCAAAGATATCCATAAAAAGTGTTGTTTAAAGTTTGCTACAAGCACCTGGGAGACACACCAAACATGTGGAAGAAGGTGCTCTGGTCAGATGAAACCAAAATCGAACTGTATGGCCACAATGCAAAACAATATGTTTGGCATAAAAGCAACAAAGCTCATCACCCTGAACACATCATCCCCACTGTCAAACATGGTGGTGGCAGCATCATGGTTTGGGCCTGCTTTTCGTCAGCAGGGGCAGGGAAGATGGTCAGAATTGATGGGAAGATGGATGGGGCCAAATACAGGACCATTCTGGAAGAAAACCTGTTTGAGTCTGCAAGAGACCTGAGACTGGGACGGAGATTCATCTTCCAACAAGACAATGATCCAAAACATAAAGCCAAATCTACAATGGAATGGTTCACAAATAAACATATCCAGGTGTTGGAATGGCCAAGTCAAAGTCCAGACCTGAATCCAATCGAGACTGTGGAAAGAGCTGAAGACTGCTGTTCACAACCGCTCTCCATCCAACCTCACTGAGCTCGAGCTGTTTTGCAAGGAAGAATGGGCAAGAATTTCAGTCTCTCCATGTGCAAAACTGAGACATACCCCAAGAGACTTGTAGCTGGAACTGCAGTGAAAGGCGGCGCTACAAAGTATTAACGCAAGGGGGCCGAATAATACTGCATGCCCCACTTGTCAGATTTTTATTCGTTAAAAATGTTTGACACATCCAATAAATTTCATTCCACTTCCATGATTGTGTCCCACTTATTGATTCTTCACAAAAAATTAAAATTTTATATATTTATGTTTGAAGCCATCGCGGAGAAATTTTATATATTTATGTTTGAAGCCATCGCGGAGAGCATTTTAGTTTACCAACCTGGACTTATTTCAATCCTAGACTACAGCAAATTACTCATTAAGGTAAGATCTTCTAAAGAACAATATACCATTCTATCCATCTACAATTCTCCTGTGCTGCCAGTCTTTTCCTCACCACCATCTCCTTCCTGTGTCTCAATGAGTGTCTGCTGTAATGATCCACCCATTTCCTACATTTCTGAGAGGGTCCTGGAAGACGCCTCTCCCTCGTGCTCTTCACCCCCTGTGGGTCCCGAGTTACCTGTGGGTCCTGAGTCACCTGTGGGTCCTGTGTCTCCCATGGTACCGGAGTCTTCTCCGATTCCCGAGTTTCTTATGGTCTCCCCATCCCCTGTGGTCCTCACATCTCCACCAGAAGTTTCCACATCTCCACCAGAAGTCTCCAAGTCTCCACCAGAAGTCTCCAAATCTCCATCAGTGGTCTCCACATCTCCAGAGGTTCCCACGTCTCCAGAGGTCTGAGTCTCCAGAGGGTCCCACGCCTCCTGCAGCCCCTGTGGTATCTATGCCTCCTGCAGTCCCTGTGGTAGCTATGCCTCTTGCAGTCCCTGTGGTATCTACGCCTCCTACAGTCCCTGTAGTAGCTATGCCTCCTGCAGTCCCTGTGGTAGCTATGCCTCTTGCAGTCCCTGTGGTAGCTATGCCTCTTGCAGTCCCTGTGGTAGCTACACCTCCTGCAGTCCCTGTGGTAGCTACGCCTCTGGCAGTCCCTGTGGTAGCTATGCCTCTTGCAGTCCCTGTGGTAGCTACGCCTCTTGCAGTCCATGTGGTAGCTACGCCTCCTGCAGTCCCAGAAGGCAGTCCCTGTGGTAGCTACGCCTCTTGCAGTCCCTGTGGTAGCTATGCCTCTTGCAGTCCATGTGGTAGCTACGCCTCCTGCAGTCCCAGAAGTAGCTACGCCTCCTGCAGTTCCAGAGGTGGCTATGACTCCTGCAATCTCAGAGGTAGCTGCGCCTCCTGCAGTCCCAGAGGTAGCTACACCCGCTGCAATCTCTGAGGTAGCTATGGCTGCTGCAACCGTTGATGAAATGCCTACGCCCCCCACAATCCCTGAAGCAGCTACACCCCCGTAATCCCTGAAGTGGCTACAGCTCCTGCAACCCCCATGGTAGCTACACCTCCTACAGTCCCTGAGGTCTCCATGGCAGCTGAAGTTCCCCTGATTTCTATGACAGCTGCAGCCTCGCTGGTCTTGCAGACTATGAAAGGGTTGTCCTCTTGTGGTCTGTCCTAGCTCCAGTGTTCCCAGCTGTTCTGATTGTCTTTGACACAGGTGTTTGTCATTGTCTGTCATTAATATCCCTATCTGTGTTCTTCTTTGTCTGGGCATTGTCCAGTATGGCATCCTGCCTCCCTTCATGTCTCTTCCAGGATCTTGTAAGTTTTTGCTTCCACGTCAGCCTTTTTTGTTTTGTTATCATCCATCCATCCATTATCTTTTACCCGCTTCTTCCATTTTGGGTCTTTTGTTTGTTATAATAAATATATTTTTTACTTCAAACCTGAGTCTTCTGAGTCCTACCTGCATGTGAGTTTAAGTAAATGGTAGCAATAGTTAGTTAATGCTCCACAACCTTAAGTGTAGAACCACTAAACTGAGTAACAGTTTCTACCCTGAAACTGTTACTCATAAATTCCTAACCAGGATAATCACTGTTAAAAAAAAGTGTTTCCCCACAGTTGAATGTTTACATGCAATTTGAGATTTATGCATCATTGTTAATTTTCTACAGCTGATGATTTGTACCTTCACAGGCTCTAATGTAGCAGAGAAAGCATCTTGCAGAGCACAGCAGGCCAACCTCCACATTTCTTCTGTAAATACTGGACCCACAGTGACCAACACATATCTGCAGAGAAAAAAGATTAAACACAGATTGATGTAAACATGGAAAAAATATTTGGAGGCAGCAAAAGCTCATTTTAGCATGTAAGATTGAGTCCCTGTGCTTGTGTGTGTATATATATATATATATATATATATATATATATATATATATATATATATATGTAGTGAACTAGGCCTGAGGTCAAATCCTGACCTTAAGGACCTTATGGGACAGAAACTGTAATTTCATTGATTTGAATCCAGAAATACAGGTTGACCCATCCTGAGACTTTCTTTCTTGAATTGATCAAGTGAAAGAACACTATTTTCTATTATCATTACTATTTTACAAATGTTTGATAATCAAAGTGTTTTTAGTTCAAACCATTTTTAGATGTTGCAGTGAACTAATCATTTTTAATTCAACTGTGAAACACTAATAATGATTTTAATCCTCATGCAAAGTAGAAATTATGTTAAGGTCTGTTACAGAGTAATTATGCATTTTCTGATTTTCTGTCTTTGAATGAGCAAGTGTAAGCTGGTCCAAGGTTGGAGTCAAACGCAAAACAAGTTGTTGGAACGAACTGTCATGTTTTTAAAATCCTCTCAGACGTAAATATAGAGGCTGGCACCTGTTTTCCCCCAACTCGTCTAAATATTCCTCTCGTCTGTCTGAAAAACATTTTCAATCTGTTCCATAACATTCTTGCTGTTTTTCTGATTCCTAGTGACCTCTTACGTCACAAAAACACACCCCTGTCTGGTCGATATTGACCAATCAGGAACCTCCCAAATGAACCGGAAGTAGAGCTCTTTAAATGTCGGTACTTCCTAGTTCAAACGAGTCGGGTGGAGAGTTTGCAGCTCCAGTCGTTTGGGAGAACAGAAGTCCAGCATGATCCAGAGCTCTTCCGAGTCCTGTGGGAATTATGCAATCTTCCACATCTGAGTGGAACTTCTGAAGGACTCCACTCATGTGAAGTCCACTCGTGAGGTGAACTGTTGTTGATGAAGTCCCGCCACCACTCCGGACGTTTCTCTGCCATCCTACGGAGACGCTGGACCGGTAGCTTAACTGGAGCTCCGTTTCCACTGATTCATCGTCAGAGAGGTAACGAGTCGAGTTTACTACAGAGCGTACTGAGGAAAGCTGGGTTCGAATGGAGGGTGCCGTTCTGTTCAACACTTTTCACTCACACACACCATCTCCCTCCCTCTAAACTTCATCTTTCCATCTTTAAACTCTTCTATCTGCTAGCAAATCATTCCAGATATTTCCAGAAATGTCTGTGGTGAAGCAAGGTTTTCAACCATCGCCGTATGGTTAATCAAATTGTACAGCTTGCAAAATTAGCCATGTTGTTGTTGAAATCATTTTGCCAAATTAATGTAAATGTGTGATGTTAAATTTTGATTCTGTAAATAAATGACCACGTTCATTTTGATGGGTCAAAGATAATTAACGTCTCACGTTACGTTTTTAATAATTCAATGCACGACATTATTCAGTCCAGAAAAATGAAAGAATCCGTTTAATTTATGAATATATACAGCATACGTTTGTTCTACATATATATATATATATATATATATATATATA